TCAACCCAATTAAAAACACACCGAGACATATAATAGTCAAGATCCCAGAAATCCAGCACAAGAATAATATACTGAAAACTGCTAGAGAAAAGAAGCAGATCACATTCAAAGGAAAACCCATCAGAATTACGGCTGACTTCTCTTCACAAACCATGAAGGCAAGAAGAGCATGGAGTAGAGTACTTCAAGTTCTAGGACCGAAAGTCCTGGCTGCGAACAGACTCATGCCGTTGCCCTTGTCACAGTGACATCCTAGTATCTGTTCTGTTCTAGGGACTAACTCATGTTCACCCCTCATCCTCTGATAGCACTTCTACCGCATTCCTCCTGTCTCAGTTCACATGTCCACACCTGTGCTGTGCCCGGGGCTGCCCTCAGTCAGAGGTAATGGCATGCCCAAGTGTTCTCCCAGCCTGCAGCTTCACGCCAGCCCTTCCCCCACCTTCTCTGCACGTGGCGTGCATTCCAGGCGGAAGAGAAACCAGGCTGGACCTGCCATGCAGGCTGAGATTCAGTCTCACCCTCCCTGTAGGCTTGTCCTGAACACAAGGGGGCGCACGTGCAAAGCCTTCAACCCGGAGCAGCCTCGGGGATGGCCAGCTTGCGCTCTCCAGCTGAGAACTGTGACTGTGGGAACATTACGATTGTGCCAAGCATGGCCTGGCACCTAGCACAGGCAACCGTGCCCGGGCTCAGTAAATATTGCTTGTCTCTAATTTAAATGCAATCTGACATTGTTTGGGTTTTTTTCCTTTTTTCAGGTATTCTGTTTACAAGGACCCAGCAGGCTGGCTGAATATTAACCCCATCAATGGGACAGTTGACACCACGGCTGTGCTAGACCGGGAGTCCCCCTTCGTCCACAATAGCGTGTACACAGCCCTCTTCCTGGCGATCGACAGTGGTGAGTACTATCAAAAAGACGATTGGAGGGTTCGCCTTTCAGTTACAAATATATTTTTATATTTCTACACATTTTCTGATTCACCTTGGGGTGCTACTGGGCAGAGTAGAAGCAAGTGGTCTGGGGAAGCAAGTATGGAAACATGCATCCTGAGTTCGTGGCATCCCAGTCTGGGAATTCGTCTTGTCTGTGGAAAGATGAATGCGTGCAGCTAGGGGTGAGAGCCGCGAGCTCCTGTTCTCCAGCTGCGCAGGCCCCGAGCTGGGAAGCCAGGCTGGCGTCCCTAGGAGAGCGGTGCTCTTGTCTGAGCAGAGGGCTCTGTGATGTGCTACAAGGTGAAGGAAGTCCCGCAGGACTGCACCGCCTCTGACCGTGGAATTGCTCCTGCGGCTCTGATCTTACTAAGAAATGCCCCCATGGAAAGACACGGAAGCCGCATCCTTACAGCAAAACACCTGATGCTCATTCAAAAACTAATACTACAACAAACAGCCAGCTGCTGGCCCCTTTTTAGATGCTGGGAGACGAAACAAAACTGACTGTACCTGCCCTCCCATGGCCGGCAGGCTGCTGCAGCAAGCAAGCAGAGTTCCGAGCGCTGCGAGCAAGCTGTGCCTGGAGGCACGCCGAAGTGGGGGAGCCCTCGCAGGAGACTTTTAGCAGCTTTTCGTATCTGGGGGCTTGGAACAATTACAGGGGTGGGCCTAAGAGAGGATCTGGGTCTAGAAACATCCTGCACAGTGTGAATGCAGAGCTCATGGGACTTGCCATTAACTGAGCTGAGTGCTCAGACGGGGGCTTCGGACCTGCTAAACTGAGATGTCTGCTAGGTGAGATGTGCAAGAAGTGTCAAACTCCCTGTCGGTCCTCGAGCTAGGTGTTTATAGCCACAGACTCCGCCGTTCTGAGTCCTTGGGTCTCAAGACGAATACTCATGGTATTCATCATCATACTCAGCCGTGAGGTGTGAACTAAGGTCTCTGCGAGCCAGTCTCCCTGTGCCCCGTAGCCACCTCTCTGGGTGGTGTTTGTGTTCAATTAGTCAAGTAAACAGAAAAGCACAGTGGAGCGTCCAATTATCAAGTAAACAGAAAAGCACAGTGGAGCGTCCTTACACCCGTTCTGATGGGGCCAACCCCAGAGGAACCTGTCCACCCTGAAAAGTGGTGTCAGGAGAGAGATTTCAGGGGAAGGGGATATCGAAGCTGAAGAGCGGATACACTGATGAGATGCAGGATATTCTAACCCTGGAAAGGACACATGGGAAGCCAGCGAGGTGGCCGGCCTTCCTGGAAGCGAGTGAGGCAGGCAGCAAGATGGACGGCACAGAAGGCCGTGAGTGTGCAAAGAGGAGTGTGCAGAGCCGGGAAGGCAGTGGGCTGAGGTGCATCGGCGTGCTGCGGTAGAGACTCAGCACTTGTCCCAGTGCCTGGCCCTCCCAGCTGTGGAACAGGTGAGAGAAGCAGGGACCTCCACAAAGGCGGCGGGTCTACTTTGGCTACAGCATCTGCGGCTGGAAGCGTGATGAAGACCACAGCAGGTGTCTGAGGGACAGCCCGCAGCTCCTAGGCCGGCAGAAAGGAGAAGGTAGATGGAACCAGAAATGAAGGAACAGGTTTTGTGAAGAACCCACGCCGGACTTGACTTAGAGAAAGGTGGCTTTACGCTGTCTAGTGTGAAAGGCAGGGAAGATTATTCCTTGGACAGGAACCAGAGCTCATGTCAGGGCATGACGCCTATCTTGATTTGGGGGTAGAAGTTGAGGTGCTGTTCCTGGAGAAGCTGGCAGCCATTGAAACACAGAAGCTTCCAGAAGGAACAGGTCTGCACACGATGACTAAGGCCACCAACAGCGACAGTTAGCCAAGAGTGCTGAATAAACAAGGAGTGTCACAGTCTGCAGCTTGGGAAACCGACACACAGTTCCACGGACTCTCCCATCGCGAGGACGTTGCTTTCCAGGACCGGGGATGGGGCTCAGTGGCAGAGCTCGGGTCTGTCATGGACAAGGCCCTGGGTTTGATCCCAGCACCACAAAAAAAGAAAGAAAAATATTTCTTTGCGCACACTGTTTCCTATCTTTGGTTTCTTACATCCTTGGCATCCTTTAGAATTTCTATCTGGGAGCAGCAAATGGGTTTAAAGTCCCACCGTGACAGTTGCTAGCTATCTAATTTGTCTTACAACGTAGTCAGGACCTGCGGACGTATTAGAGTCCCGCATTTCGGTGCAGGAAAGTGGGTCTCGTGTTTCTCAGTGTGCCCCTGCGTGAGCCGTCTGGCAGGGTGACTGCAAAAGCTGCTTATTCTCTATGAGGCTCTGGCCGTACTTCTGCAGTGAGAAGGATAATTCCCACTTGTCACATTGTTGAGAGAAACGCGAAGGTGGCATGCCATGCCCTCCAGACCCCCAGCAAAAGCCACGGTAGCAGCTCACAAAATGCTAATCCCACCCCAGTGGGGGTTCCAGAAAGGAGAGAGCGAGGCTGGCAGTAATCCCCCACAGCCCAAGAGGGACAGCCTCTCTCAATACTCAGGTCGGAGAAAGAAACTCAGAAGCTGGTGTTACAGATATTTCCAAAATGCTAAAATGTTCCTGAAGATGTAAGGAGTAAACAGGTTGTCATTAATTAATATACAGAGCCATTGTCAGAAATAATAATCTTGAACAAGGCCCAAAAGACTTTGAACAAAAAGATCATAAACTTCAAAGATCACATAAATCAGAGTAACTCTTGTGTAAAGCTCCTTTTTGTCACTCACTGAAACTGTACCTCCTTGTATTATGTTTAAGCAGGGAAAACCAGCATTTATCTGTTAGATCACAGTTAACAGCACTCACTGGTGTTTCATCTTTACCCAAAGTGAGCATTTGTTTTTATTAATTTTACGGCAATTCAATTTGTTTGATGGATTGGAAGAATAAGGACTTCTGTCATGTAGCATGAGAAACACTAAATCTCCTAGCTTGATTTTCTCCAAACAAGGGTTCACTCGGGCATTTGTATGTCAAGGGGCTTCGTGGTAGGATGTGGTAAAGTGACATCCTTATTATAAAACTGGGAAAGTCCAGCTAACTTAGAAAAATCGGAAAATACAAAAGAAAATCATAATTCTCATAAAGACATCAGACAACCATGAAAGAAGACGCCTAAATGAGCTAATGCCAAAGAGAAGAGAAGAACCATTCCAAAGGCACCACACAGCCGGCCAGTTTTCCTCTGGGGCCATCTTCTGGTTCTTAGTGAGTCAGATTTTCCCAGAGACCTGCAGAAGGAGGGAAAGAAATCAGAAATGCTTGCAGGAGTCAGCAGGCTGGGGAGACCAAGTGGGAGGTTGTGGGGCTTTAAAGCCAGGGCTGTTGCCTCTGCCTGCCGCGGACAGACACTTTTCCGAAGGCAAAGGGCTGTCTCCCGGAGCTCCCAGGAAGCAGAACAAGCCGAGGAACTGAGCCCTCTGCACACACACAGGTCTCCTCCGTCTAGACCCCTGCCAGATTCCCGAGATGGAGGGAGGAGGGTGCGGCTGCAGCTCCGGGCCCGAGCTGAGTCTCTGCAGCCTTTCAGGGCTGAGCCGCTCAAGGTCTCAGACTCCTCCAGGACCACGCCGAGCAGCATGGGTGGCCAGAGGCAGAGCAGGCCGTATTAGGCATGTGACCCAGGGACCGGTCCTAGCCTCAGACTGAATGGCACAGTGAGCCCTCCACCTACGCGGCTGGCTTGGAGAAGGCAAAGCTTTGGCAGAGCACATCCTCTGGAACTGCCAGCGTTCATTTGTGCTTTGCTCCAAATTTACAAATTAATAAATTTCTGCAACTGTAGAAAAACAACTATAACTGACCATCAACAGGAAAATCAGACATATAAGGGTCCAGATGTTTGAGTGAGCACACAAGGACTTTAAAGGATCGACAGGTGGGCAGGGGGATAGTGCGGCAGTCTGAGGGCCTGCCTGGCAAGCACAAGGACCTGGGTTTGACACTGTGTGCGTACCAGCCCCGGAACCCCAGGTGCACTGTGCCAGCCACTGAAACCAAGCATGGTGGTGCACGCCTGTAATCTCAGCACTGGGGAGGCTGAGGCAGGATGATCACTATGAGTCTAAGCTGTGTAGTGAGCCCCTGTATCAAATAGATAAAATAATTAATAAAGTTTTTTAATTTTATTTATTTTTTTCTGTATTTTTTAGGGAAGGGTCTATAGAGTGTTCAGGGTCTCACTATGTAGATCAGACTCATAGTGACCCTCCTGCTTATAGCCTCCCAAGTGCTGGGATGACAGGTGTGTGCCACCACGCCCAGTCTCAATCGCTGTCTCAGAGTGTCCTGGGGGCAGGGCGGCACAGCAGGCCCAGGGATCAAAACTCCAGCCTCTGAGCCTACTTGCAGGTGCTTTAATCTGCTGAGCTATTTGGTCGACCCAGTTGTTTTTTTTTAATTTTAAATAAAAATAAAAATAAAAATAAGACACAGGGAATAACACTACAGATCTGGAATCTATAAAAGTGAATCAAATAGGTATTCTTAAAATGCATGTCATCTGATATGGAGAATTCAACAAATAGAGCTACCTGTGTGTGTGTGTGTGTGTGTGTGTGTGCGTGCGCACACGTGCCTGGTGTCAAACTCATGGCCTCACACTTGCCAGGCAGGTGCTGAGTCACTGAGCCACATACTCAGCCCTAAAGCTAACATTTGAACATATGACTCGTGACTGGGAATACAAATCTACAGAAAACACTCAAAGTGAGGCACAGACAGAAAAACAACAAAAGAGGCCAATAGGGCATGTGTGAGATTAAATCACAGACAGATTAAGGGCATGAAAATAGAATGGAACAAAAACTTTTGAAGATATAAATCTAGCAATGTTCTAGCCCTGAGAGTGAGACATCCACCAATTAACTTAAGAAGTCCCATAAACCACAGATAGGACAAACAGAGAAACACATTCAGGACGTCATCACCAATCTGATGACGGCCAAAATCCAAGAAGACGGCAG